AACTTTAGCCGCCACCAAGTGTCGGTCGAACAATCGATGAGGGGTGATTGTGTGGTTACGAAAGAAGTCAACGCCAAGAATCACGTCGTATTGGCAAGCGTACAGAACTGAAAAGAGAACTAAAGTGCGATGGCAGGCAACAGTGACGCGGGCAGTGCTCGTAAAAACTGATATTCGGATGCCGTCGGCAACTCACATTGTTGAAAACATAGTAGGAGTAAGAACTTTCTTTAGGCAGAATCGTAGACGAGAGTTCATAACGGAAAGGTGGGCGCCAGTATCTATTATAGCTGTGAGAGCTTTGCCATGGATGAGTACACCAAGTAAATTTTGTCTAAAAGTTGTGTTCGATAGAGGTTTTTCAGTCCGAGTTGTCAATGCCGTGCCACCTCCATGAGCTGCATCTGCTAGTTTTCAGAAAGCTGTGCAGAATACACCAGTGACAGCGAGCCGAGGAGTTGAGGGGAACGCGGCTGGCAACCCTGAGTCGACGGCGAACGGCAAGACCTGGTTCTTTGGGCAGTGACAGCAGCATAGAATGGTTCGGAGCGTAGAATGGCTTGGTGCGAGGTCCTGGAGGAGGTCATCGGCAAAACGTGGTTGCGAATACTGTACAAACCTGACGGTGGATGTTGAAATAACATTGCCGGAAAGACCATCTGCTGCGTCAGTGGCTGGAAATGTGGCCAAAACGAGAGCAACAGAAAGAAATCGGCCGATCATCTTGTGTGCGTCACTTAAATGAATTTCGGAGCATGTTAGGAACTGCGGAACCAATGCGGCAGCGAAAAGAAAGGGCGTGGCATGAAAGTCAGCGTTATGGGTGGGAGTACACGTGGGCTGGGGTGTTTAGCTGGTGGTCTTGGGAACAATGACACCTATGTTAACAAAATTTTGGCGTACAAATACTTTATTTAGCGATATAGTTGCCAAGTTAACTCGCGCAGCGTGCTAATAAGTGGTGGGAGCCAAGGCTTGCATCCTCTGGCGAACAATATTTGTGATGTTGGCAGAATTAACGAAAGGATGCGTCGCCACAAGGTCTTCGAAAGAAGAAGTCACAGCTGTATTCCAGAGTTGGGTGAAGCCTTGAATGAAGCTCTTGCTTTTGGATTGTTCTAACCGCTGACGTTCAGAGATAATTGAGTCAACAGTGGCGTAAATTTTGCAGATAAGAATGTCGAAAGCATCGTCAGCTAGGTGTTGTAACTTACACAGGCAGAGACGCACTCGTGGAACGCCTTTATTCCTACGGCTCCATAATCAAAGTCACACACCCAAAACAGCAACTCAAATACCAGTGTCCATGAACACACACATCCAATCACAAACGTGCACATACACAACAAGTAAACAAGTTCACCAATCTCAATCGCGCTGCCGTCTTTCAGGTGAATATGTTCACTATCGAAGGCACCACGTGTTTCATGCAACGTCAAAGAGTGTTGAGCGCAACGCCACAACTCGTTTAATGTAACGCGTAGAGCGTTAGATACAGCACTACTTTCCTCCTATTCTGAAGCATCGCTATAACTCCCACGGTCCGAAGTTCGTCGCTCTCGGCATCTGCTTCTTACGGTGATCGGTGGAGGAGAGCAAGAGCTGGGTGATGCTTGTGCTTGTTCCGTTACCAGATGGGCACCCGGTGACGTTGTTGCATTGGGCACTGATGAACTGGGCACAAGCGCTTTCGCAGCATGTGGAAACTCGAGTTCACTGTGGTCACAGTCGCTGTCTGTCTCCAGAAAGACTTCCGCAAATGATCGCCATGCACATACCGCAGACGGCCTCGGACAAAAACCAAATACGTGCATGGAGATTTCACACATGTCACTTTTCCGGGAATCCATTAAACAACTTCCCCTCGAACTGCGCCCACTAAAACAGCGTCACCAACAAAAGAATACCGTGATACACCTCTTCCCTTGCCGGCGGACAGTTTCACTCTCTCCCCTTTGCCTGATTGCTTACTCCTAACATTTGGTTGCAGCAATTTTAGCCTAGTTCTCAGTTTGCATCTCAGAAAGAGTTCAGTGGGTATTTTATCCGTGAAGGTATGGGACATCACACGATACGAGAACAAAAAGTTGTCGATCTTATGTTGCAGCGATCGACTTTTCCCTTTCTTTGTCACCTGGAAGCTGTTTCAGAAGTGCTTTCTTCGTAGTTTTCCCTGATCGCTCAGCCGCACCATTTGACTGTGAGTAATATGGTGGCGTCAGCGTGTGTTTTATGCCATTCACTTTTAGAAACATCTCAAATTCTGTTGCAGTGAACTTAGGGCCGTTATATGAAACCACGTCAGCTGGAAGGTCATGCGATGCAAACAGAGAACGTGCTGCTTCAACAGTTTTTGAGCTGTCGTTGAATCAAGCCAATTTTAATATGCATCCACAGCAATCAAAAGCATGTGCCCTTCCTTAGCTGCAAAATGTAAATGCACTCTTTCCCATGGAAATTCGCTCAGTTGCCATCGACATAAAGACAATGGCTGGGTTGTCGGAAGTACCGACTGATGCGTTTTACACGAGTGAACTACTTGTTCTAGAGCATTATTGAACGTGGTACTGCTTTCATTTTGGTGATTCCCAAATGCTGCTAGTGTAAAACAGATACAACTACGTCTTGCAAACTTTCAGGTATTACGGCTCTGTGATTCGAAACAATACAGCAATTATCAACAGTCAGTTCCAACTGATGGAAGCAAAATGCCTGTAGTTCACTTAAAATGCTTTTAGGCCAAACGCGCCATATAATGTTTCGAACGCTCTCTAGCAGCTCGTCATGGTCTGTTGCACGTTCAATGTCTTTGGCTGTAAGTGGTAAGTCAGAGTAGAAAAGTAAAAAAAAATTCAGCCAGCTTTTCCGTATCAGATAGCGGCAGGCGGGGAAAAGCGTCGGCATCAGCAATCGCTGTCCCTAGTTCATGCAATATTATATGTAGCGATAGTTAGCAAAAAAGGTCAACCACCTATGTACTCTCGCGGTAGCCACAGCGGTTCCCTGTCTCTTTGGGTCGAACAGCACTGTCATGGGCTCGTGGTCTGTTACCACCTTAAAAGTTCTCCCATAGAGATACTCAAAGTTTTTTCACCCCTAACACAATACTTAAGGCTTTTTTTTATGTTCCTGTAATTCCACACTGACACAGTGAGAGACTTTAAGGCAAACGCTATCTGTTTCTCAACATTATTGTCCACATGCGACATTATGGCTCCGACGCCATAGTCCGACGCATAACATGTTATTTGAATAGCCTGACGAACATCGTACAACTGCAGAACACTGTCATTGGTCAACAAGGCTTCGCACTTATTGAATGCATCTTCACATTGACGTGACCAGTGCCATTTGTTCTCTAATCCAAGCACGTTAGGTTCTAAAAACATTGCCAAATTTGGCAGAAAACTTGAGTGAGAATTTATTAAACGCAAAAAAGCTTTCAGTTGTCTCTCATTGACTGGTACGGGCGTCTTTTTTATGGCCATTACTCTATCCTTTATAGGATGTACACCAATTTTATCAATTTCATAACCTAAATAAGTTACTCTCTCCTGAAAGAACTTGCACTTCCCGGCATTGACCTTTATTCCATGCTTGCTTAGGCGTCTGAGCACTTGCTCAACTCTTTCGCGGCACTGCTCGTATGTCCGAGCAGCTATGATCGTGGTGCCGTCTTTGTCAAGGTAGTGGAAATTAACAGAGAAGTGCATAGGTGGGGTGGTTTTCAACGAGACAGAATTCCCTTCGATAGGAGGCTAAGTCATGAGGTGGGTTGGTGACTTGCAGGAAGTGCAGTAGCTTTTTAGGGGGCTAACGTGGGGCGCGCGGGCCCTTCGGGGTCTAAGAAACTACAAACAAGAAGAACTACCACAGCGAAGAGCTTGACGTATGCGGGCCGCCTGCCGAGAGATGCGGTCACCCGCGAAGACACGGACGGCAGCCTGTGAGTCGCTGATCACACCCGCAACTTTCGGCGTCGCTGCAAGTACAAGAGCAATTGCAGCTTCTACGGCCCCCGTCTGCGCGTTCCGTGCACACCGTGGAACTTGCGAAGCATTCGCCCGTGCGACTCACAACTGTAACCACGTCCGCACACCAACAGTCTGGGTATCGCACTTGAACAGTGATCATGTGTTCTCGTTTCATTGCATAGAAATTTTATGGACCCTCTTCGCTGGTTTTTGCCGCGGGGAAGGACGATCTAGCAGCTCTTTCTCTTGAACGAACACCACCTTTCCGGCCGGCGTCGTCTGCGCGTGCGCGCTTATCTCTTGAGCGAACTACGGAGGGTGGGAAGGGGGGAGGCGATAATTGTTGCAACGATCAGCGCGCGGCTCTTGCCCCCACAACCGGCGGGCACTTCTACACGCAGCGCTCTCTACACACAAACACACACATGAAAAAAAAACGGTGCCAAAAGCGTATCTGGAGTGGCCGTCAAGGTATAGATGCGCCCTACATGTAACAAACTTTACACATGACGTATAGCTCTTGGTACCACCATGCGCTGCCCACGGGAGGCGTTTCTCATCACCACCGTCAATACGCGCAAGCCTTGTTGTCGTTATCTACTCTGGCCGCACCGCAGAAACATTGTTACTTAGCAAGCGCATGTCTACTACAAATGATATTGCTCCTCAAAATGCTAGCCTTGCTTCGTAAGACATTCGAATATTTCTTCGTAAGACATTCGAATATTTCGCCCTTTTGGGGAAACTGAGTTTTTTGATTGACCGCCATTACAAAAGCACATATGCATGCATACGGTGAAGTTGATAGAGTAGTTATAGAAGAATACGCCAGAAAGCCAACGGTCCGCGGCGAGTTCCGTAACGTTTCCAATCTGTGGCTGCGACATTTTAGACAACAAGAGAACTGATTCTTTATTGCAAGCATTGAATGTTCTACATAAACAAAGACTAAACTACCAGCAAATTTATTCCTTAGCCTCAGTGCACGTAAGGGCACCGCATGCAGCAAACGCTAAGCAGACTGACCTCATCTTTGGCGTCAATTTCGTTGAGAAGCAAGATTGTCTGTGAGCCGGAGTCGTAGACCAGCTGCCAGAAATCCTCCACTGTGATGATCAGTGGGTACTGAGTGACGATGTACGTTTTACGGTTCGCATAGCCCTGCAAATAAATAAAGCAAGAAACGAATTGCGGGTGACTAGTTTTCGCATGTGGTCATAGAAGGAAATGGCATCGCTACAGACACACTGCCGTTCAAATTCGGTTTCGAGCACATGAAGCAACACTATGTGCAGTGGCTGTAGCTCCACAATGAAATTTTCAAAATATGTGAGCTACCACACTTTCTCGGCCATGCCGCTGCGCAAAGAAACTGAATGTCGTGCTCCTTGGAGCTACCAAACGTGCCCACTAGTGCTACCACCAAATGATTTTCAGTCGCAAGGCCACGGGAGCCTTACGTAACCAATATGTGAGAAACAAGAGCTTACACCAAGCTTTTAAATGCGAGGAGAGATCCAAAGCTTTTTTTATAATGCTGAACAACAGTGATCCTGCATGGAGGCATAATAAAGTTAAAAACCACGAATTTATAAACTTTAACACCTCAGAGTTCCCCAAAAAGGCGCTAAGCCTTCAAAGGAATTTAAATGTCGCTTGCATGACTGAAAATACACAAACTTTGATCACTTGTTTTGCTTACCTAATGTTTCTGAGTGACCTGTAGCGCACACCCGCTACGACGGTTTGTGAAACGCGGAAATGTGCCGTACGTGATTGGCGGAAATATTTTCATGGCACAGACGACAAGCAAACCACGTTATTCATGTCATAACCTGAGAATCGTGCTTGTTCTTCCCTCGTGCCTTAAAATGCCCATTTTTGTGTATACAAACTTAAGGACACGATCGCAACAGTACGCAGATGCAGGTAGATAGATAGATAGATAGATAGATAAATAGATAGATAGATAGATAGATAGATAGATAGATAGATAGATAGATATACAGATAGATAGATAGATAGATAGATAGATAGATAGATAGATAGATAGATAGATAGATAGATAGATAGATAGATAGATAGATAGATAGATAGACAGCATTCTTACTGCTTTGCAGCAGCGACAGCGGGGTGGTCACATATTGAAGGGAATTCTGTCTTTTGTGCTGGTTAGCTGATCAGTCTCGTAAGTTGCCCCACCGACACAATTTTGCTGTCGCTGTTGCTGCTACTTATTTGCTGTTCTTTTCCTTCTATTGTATTACTGACACTTATTAAGAGAATGGCGACGTGTGCTGAACTCGCGAAGCGCATTCACGCGATTATAGCGAAGTTAAGCAGAGACACTGATCGTCTGCATCATGATGTATTCGGTAAAGTTTTGTTACGATGACAGTCCTCAGGAATTGATGTTAAAGAAATCAGAAGCGAGATTCACGACTTAAAACACAGTGTCACGGGGTCGTGACGTGGCCAAAGACAGAAAACTTCGTGTTGGAATTTAACTGTGTATTTGGGCGAACCTGTGCCCGGTAAAGGGAAAGTCCAATTACAGCAGCAGTCTCGCACAGATAGCAGTCTCGGACTCATAGCGGCGAATGCAGCGTCGGCCTTCGATCAACAACTGACAAGCGGCGAAGCGCGTCGGCATTTATACCCTTGCCGTCGAATGTTCTAGCGTTATCGCTGGCGGTGGCGTAGGTTCCAGAACAATCTGTACCGTTCGCACAGTGGGCGTGATCTTATCGAAATGATCTACTACAGTCCGGAACCTTCTCGAAACCTGCAGGGGCGGTTTGCGCCGAGAATCGTGTTGTGTTTCGGAACGATAACAAAAACTTGTGAAATGGAACGTGGCATTGCCCCCCTCTGAAAAAAGGCATCGTCCCGATGCTTTAACTAAAGATGAAGGTACAATAATAATGCAAGAAAGTACAATGAATAAATTACAATACAACAATAATACAAAAAAACACTGTTTCAGTTTGTTAACGTGCATGAAACGGCTTGAGGCGTGCGACATGGACGACTTCAGGTCGCGATCGGCGTCGTTGAGAGTTCGTGATGCCGTCGGGGACAACCTCGTAATCAAGTGGGCCGAGACGTCGAACCACCCTGTACGGTCCGAAGTACCGTCGCAGAAGCTTTTCACTTAGTCCACGTCAGCGTATCGGCGTCCACACCCAAACACGTTCACCCGGCTGGTATTCCACGAAGCGTCGTCGAAGGTTGTAACGGTGGCTGTCGGTCGTCTGTTGATTCTTGATACGAAGACGCGCAAGTTGTCGGGCTTCTTCGGCGCGTTGAAGGTACTCGCTCACATCGAGGTTTTCTTCGTCGGTGACGTTGGGTAACATGGCATCGAGCGTCGTTGCCGGGCTCCTTCCGTAGACCAATTTATATGGAGATATCTCCGTCGTCTCCTGCATCGCCGTGTTGTATGCGAAAGTCACATACGGAAGAATGGCGTCCCACGTCTTGTGTTCGACATCGACGTACATTGACAGCATGTCGGCGATCGTTTTGTTATGCCGCTCGGTGAGGCCGTTGGTGTGTGAGTGGTACGCTGTCGTCCGGCGGTTGTTTGTTTGGCTGTATGCCAAGATCGCTTCAGTTAAGTCGGCAGTGAATGCCGTTCCTCTGTCGGTGATAAGGACCTCCGGGTCGCCGTGACGTAGGATGATATTTTCGACGAAGAACTTAGCTACCTCGGATGCACTGCCTTTTGGCAGGGCTTTTGTCTCGGCGTAGCGGGTGAGGTAGTCGGTAGCTACCACGATCCACTTGTTTCCGAAAGCCGACGTCGGGAACGGCCCCAGTAGGTCCATACCAATCTGCTGGAAAGGTCGGCAAGGTGGATCAATTGGCTGCAGAAGTCCCGCTGGCCTTGTCAGCGGTGTCTTGCGTCGTTGACAGTCCCGGCATGTCCCCACATAACGAGTGACGTCGGTGGTAAGACGTGGCCAGTAGTACCTTTCTTGTATCCTCGCGAGCGTGCGGGAAACACCGAGGTGCCCTGCCGTCGGATCGTCGTGCAGGGCCTGCAGGAGATCTGGTCGCAGAGCTGAAGGCACCACGAGGAGGTACTTAGCTCGAAGCGGTGAAAAGTTTTTCTTTTGTAGAAGACCGTTTCGTAGAAAGAACGACGCAAGTGCGCGCTTTAATACCTTCGGGTCTTCGGCGGCCCTGCCTTCGAGGTATTCTATTAGGGCTTTAAGTTCCGGGTCGGCCCGCTGTCGTTCAGCGAAGTCGTCGGTAGTTATCGTTCCCAAGAAGTAGTCGTCATCCGAGTCGTCTGGTAGCGGTTGGTCGACAGGCGCACGAGAGAGACAGTCAGCGTCGGAGTGTTTTTTGCCGGACTTGTAAATGACAGTAATGTCATATTCTTGAAGTCTAAGGCTCCATCGTGCGAGGCGACCTGAAGGGTCCTTCAAGGTGGCTAGCCAACACAAGGCGTGGTGGTCGCTCACAACTTTGAAGGGCCTGCCGTAGAGGTAGGGGCGAAATTTCGACGTAGCCCAGATGATGGCGAGGCACTCCTTTTCTGTTGTGGAATAATTTGCTACTGCTTTGGGTAGCGATCGGCTTGCGTAACTAATAACCCTTTCAAGTCCGTCAGCCCTCTGCACAAGAACGGCGCCAAGACCTACGCTGCTTGCGTCAGTATGTATTTCTGTCTCGGCGAATTCGTCGAAATGGGCAAGTAACGGAGGCGTCTGGAGGCGATGTTTAAGCTCCTGGAAAGCGTGTTCCTGCGGCGTTTCCCACTTAAACTCCACGTCGGCCTTGGTAAGGTTAGTGAGAGGATCGGCGATGCGGGCGAAGTTTTTCACGAACCGCCTATAATAGGCACACAGGCCCAGAAATCGGCAAACGGCTTTCTTGTCAGTGGGCGGCGGGAAGTCAGCGATAGCGGCTGTTTTCCGTGGATCGGGACGAACTCCAGACTTGCTGATAACGTGCCCCAGAAACAAGAGCTCCTCATACGCAAATCTGCACTTTTCTGGCTTCAGTGTGAGTCCGGACGTCTTGATGGCTTGAAGTACCGCTTCAAGGCGCCGAAGATGCTCGTCGAAACTCGAGGAAAACACGACGACGTCGTCCAAGTACACAAGGCAAGTCTGCCACTTCAATCCTGCCAGTACTGTATCCATAACGCGTTGAAAAGTTGCAGGCGCTGAGCAAAGGCCGAAGGGCATCACCTTAAACTCGAAGAGGCCGTCCGGTGTTATAAACGCCGTCTTCTCTCGGTCTTTTTCGTCGACTTCGATTTGCCAATAGCCAGTCTTGAGGTCCATTGACGAGAAGTACTTGGCGTTATGGAGCCGATCAAGGGCGTCGTCTATTCGTGGAAGAGGATACACGTCCTTTCTTGTGATTTTGTTCAGGCGGCGGTAATCGACGCAGAAACGTAGGGTCCCATCCTTTTTCTTCACTAACACCACGGGGGATGCCCACGGACTCTTGGACGGCTGGATAATGTCATCTCGCAGCATTTCATCAACTTGTCTCTTCATTGCCTCACGTTATCGCGTCGAAACCATGTACGGACTCTGACGGAGTGGTCTGGCATTTTCTTCGGTTATGATTCGATGTTTCGTGATTGGGGTCTGCCGAATTTTCGATGACGACGAAAAGCAATCTTCGTATTGCAGGAGCAGGGCCTTGAGCTGCTTGCTTATCGTTCGGAAGTCTGGGATTGACGTCGAAAGGTATGGGAGGGGCTTGGTTCCTCTGAGCAGGTTCCGCAGAATCGGCGAGGGCGAAAGCTCTGGTGGCTTCGACAATTTCTTCGATGTATGCGACCGTTAATCCTTTGTTCACATGTTTGTACTCATTGCTGAAATTCGTGAGCATAACCGTTGCTTTGCCTCCCCGCAGCTCTGCAATTCCTCTTGCGACGCAAATATTTCGGGTGACCAACAGATGCTGACTGCCTTCAACGACGCCTTCCAAGTCAGGTGATTTAGGAGCGCCGACTGAAATAATGACGCTTGAGCGAGGCGGCATGGTGACTTGTTCTTCCAACACATTCAAGGCGTGGTGTCCTGACGGCGTGCGCGGCGGTAGTGCTTCTTCTGTGGATAACGTTATCGACCGCGTTTTTAGGTTGATGACAGCACCATGGAGGCATAAGAAGTCCATGCCAAGGATGACAT